GACACCGCAAAAGCAGTCCTTCGGGCAAAAGGCACTGAGCAAAGGACACGTGCGCGTGGACAACGCGCTGCAGCAATTGAAGCCAGAAGCGACATGCTACGACACCTGCTTGACGTCGTGGAAGCGGAACTCAACAGGTTAGACATGTCCCGTGTGTTCACACATCTACTGCATGTAGCCTTACTCGCCGCCAACTCGTTTACCTTTTTTTTTACAATGTTGTTTCTCCATGCGACGCGCTGTCTGGACGGCATCCAGCGATGCTACCCGACCTGCCTATTCTGGGCCATGACCAGCACGCAGAGACATCCGACTACGTTCGAGAACAGACTATCCGCCGGGTAAGCATTGAGGCTATTGCTCAAGCCGCGGCAGTAGCCAAAACCAACCGTGCACTGCGGGCCAAGGCCACTATCACGGGTCTGCATTACTATGACGAAGGAGATCTGGTTGACCATCATCGTTGCGAAACGATCCCGACAGGGGTCGAGTCATCATCAGGGTGGGGAATCGCAACGTGCAAGTCCAATGCGGCGACGCGCGACATTCACTATGCACTGGAGCTTTGATCGCTCGAGAAAGTGTCCCAGACAGCACAGCACTGCGCACTGTGTTGACCTTCGTAGCCAGTCTACCTGCGGGGCGACCTGCTATTGCAGTTGGCTATATCCCAACCAAAAAGAGAATGCTCCAGATGACAAGTGTGAGCCGACTATCTCTGAAGTGCACGTTGTTCTACAATACCTCAGCATTAACCTCGTTCGTATCGAGAACGTGGTTTGCATCGGTTTAGCTGAGAGTTTTCACGAGCTACCACTGGTGGCTTATACTGACAGTTGTACACTGGTGCACTATGACAACGACGTGAATGCAGGCTTCCATTATTTCGAAGCCGAAGGCACTGCCTTAAACATATACGATATAACTGGAACAGCACATTCGACCATCATCCAATGCCTGAAGTCAACCTCAAGCGGGCTTCGAGCAAGACGTGGCGAAGTTTGAAGAACTGGCTGGCGCACCAGAACAAGGCGTCGACGCCAGAGAAGCTCCAGAAACCAAACCACCACAGGGGGGCGGACGGCGACCTATTAATGTGGAATCAAAAGCGGACCTCGAGGCACAAATCATGGATGTGCGGTGCGCAGAACTGCACGTTGAGAGAGAGAGAGAGAGAGAGAGAGAGAGAGAACTACTGGAGGCAACTCCAGCAGGCGACCTCTACATTGTGCCCGCGCAGATGATCACCGACAACAGTGTGCTGGTCACAGTTGCTGAAGAACAGCGGGCGCACCTGCCTACGTGGGGTAATCCACATGATATCGACACAACGGAGACACATCATGTCCCAGTGTGCTCCACGGGCGAAGACGACACCTGCGAACGGGGCGTTGGCGAGCATGGACTATATAGAACTCTGCCTCGCTGCAGACATGTCAAGGGTAGTCCTGTCCCAACAACAACGCAATACATTGAACTTTGACCGTGTGACCACCGTGCGAGTATGTGTGACCGCTGCAGCTACGCGAGCCGCAGTCGTCAAGGAGGACGACCTCCTCGCGAAGGCCGACATCCAGGCGAATCCAGTCATGTTATCTAAAGCCCCATACACTGAATGCAAGACATGGTTTGACAACGAGTGCTTCAACATGCAGGAAGCATCAAGGGCGCCAAACATCATGACTTCAAGATACGTATACAAGTGGAAGTTTGTCAAGAACGAGCAGGGCGGGATGGAACGGGCCATGGGGCTGCGCTCGGTACTTCGGGGGTTTATGGGCCTCGAAGCCTTCGATGTGGAAACCTCCTGCGGAAAAGGCGCGGCGGTCGAGTCGGGGGCTTCTCGCGAGCGCGGCAACGTGCAGGAAGCAATGGGTCAGTGCTTCCCTCGACATCAACATGGCTTTCCTGAAGGGGCTTACCTATCAGGAACTTGGTGAAGCAACTTGTGAAACAAGGAACGGTTGGTGTGCTTCACGCTGCCGCCTGGATCAGCATCTGCGCTTGGACCCCTCCCAGGATTTGAGCACTGCGATGAGTCGAAACACGGTTCACACTGCCTCAAACCAGGCACGGGCACCAAGGGCGCGCCAAGAGCCTTCTCACTGAAGCTCAGAAAGACCGCGAGAGGGCTTGGTCGCATACCCACGTCCAATGACGCGGAGTTTGAGACAAGTTCTATTTTTTCTTACAGCCAAGCACGTTGATGACATCACTATGGCGGGCACGGAGGACACCATCGACAGGTGCGTCAAGTGTGTTGAGAGTACTTTTGGCCAATGTAAGCTCAACAAACACGCATATACCAATTGTGCTGTGAGGTGCACAAAGGATGGGGGTGGTAACGTTACGCCTGATAAATTCGTATACGTAAAACAGCTCCGTCCTATACAACATCCAGAACCTACTCGCGCAGATGCTGGCGCCAAGGCGTCAAACATTGCCACTGACATGCTTGTTGGCCTCAGAGGTGCTGTGGCTTGCGCCTTAATCGCGCAGGTGTGATTAATGGTATATCTTGTATTCCCACAGCGTATCCAAGAACCGACCGGCATACGCGTGCGACGACTGAATGCGATTACGAGCAAATCGCGGGTTTGCCCTACTACGATCGTCTACCAATCGATGACCCCAACGGGGGGGTCGACCTGCGCAGCGACTCCGGTTACCGGCGTCTTAGCGGAGATGCCGAGGGCGAGGTCAACGGCTATGGTATTCGCGGGGCAAACCTGCTACGGCGTGGAACACGCGCCTGTTGGTAAGCCCGTCGTCTATCTGATCGACGCGTGCTGCAAGTCTCACCGCTGGCAGGTCCGTTCGAGCTATTCAGCGGAAGCACTAGCAGCAGCGGGCAACTTGGACAACTGCTATCCCACGGTCGTCACTCCGAATGAACTCCACGCAGGGCCGCTGACACCCACTCAGTTGAAATATATACTTGAGATGGGTGGCCTGAGCATCAAGGTTACTTTGACCATCGATGTGGAATGTGTCTTCAAGTCCTTATGAAGCAAAAGCCCGGAGAAACCGACTGAGTGTAGTCTTTTTGGGCACATCATTTGGAGGCGACAGATGGTGGAGCGTGGTATCGTGCAGAGTGTACAGTCGTGTGGCAATCGCGACATGACTGCGGATGGCCAAACTAAAGGGAGCATCGACAGAGATATGCTCCTACAGATCATGTGAGGAACGCAATCCTTCAATCACGACTTAAAACGACCAGACAAGATCGTCTGAACCGCCTGAGGAGCAATCGCCTGCAAGGTGATTTGCCTGCGAGGCAACTTGCTTGCAAGGGCACTTGCGTGCGGATCAACCTTCCTTGTTGAGCCAACCTGCTGCTGCCTACCTTGTTTATCTAGTGTTCTACTATGTAGCGGGCGGCGGACTCACGCTTCGTCTCCTCCCCGACTCTTAAGGAGGCTGGGACAAAGGCGAAAGATAGCGAGCGTTTGTCCGCGGCCGGTTTTTCTCAAGCGGCCGGCCGCCAACATATGATTGTGCTTCATCGCGAGGCACACTACTTGCCCTTGGGACCGAACACATTTTCGCTTGACATGGCCCGTCGTTCCCGCGACGATATCTTACTTTTGGGACTATCGTTCATACGGTACAACAGAGTTGGATATGGGCTGTGCCTTAGGCGAAGCTTCTGGTTTGGCTTCCCAACCCCCTTCAGACTCCTCGATTGTTTATGCCGCCTCGCGAGTTTGGGGAGTTCCATCCGAATTTCCACATCCCTTCTCACAGGCTCTGCACAGCAATGTCGATGCACACGTGTTGGCGTGCGCTTGTGGAACGAGCCTGGTCTTCATCCTAGTTCGACTCCCGCTCCACTCAACCTGACTTGGGGGTCGTGTGTCAGGTTGTGGCGCTCTTTTCCCCTCTCTTCCCCCCGCTCTTCTTCGCATGCGCCGCGATCGTTGCTCTTTCAGGCCACGGTTCAGTGCGTGAGTTTGCCTATCGCAGGTCGGTTCGTGTGGAGTTACCAGTTTGCTTGGCGACCTTCGGATTCGCGCAGCGGGCGAGGCCGAGTCAGGGGAAACTCTGTGGTCGTGCTCCCTCCTCCTCCTCCTCCTCCTCCTCCTCCTCCTCCTCCTCCTCCTCCCCCTCCTCCTCCTCCTCCTCCTCCCAAACAAGTTCCGATCCCTCCTCCAGTGTTCCCTCCCTTCCCTACCTCCCCCTCCGGCGGGGAAAAACCTCGTCGGCCCAGCCCTGGCGGCCACGCAGGAGGGCCGGCGGATAGTTGACGATGTTGCATATTATGTCGGCTCACAGAATCTGTACGTTGCGGACCTCGCCGAGTGGGGCATCATCGTCGACAGCGCGGCGCAGACACAGAAGGTGCTCGAAGAGTACTGGAACAAGGTCTGGCTTGCGTCCTACGAGAGCGTGCCAGAGGCTAATCGCGACATGCACGTGGACAGCGTACTGGCGAGCCTGGAACTGAACAGGAACCCCGTCGATCTTGCTAGCCTCTCCGCGGACGAGGTGGAGCAGGTGCTCCTGAAACAGAAGGCTTCATGTGCTGGGGGGTCCCCGAACAGACTTACCGTGTGGTTGAAGAGAGCCAAAAACCTCAAAAATGCAGATGGCATAATGAGTGGCGTCTCCGATCCATACGCCACGCTTCGACTCGTAGACGGCAGCGGAAAGCTCGTAAAGGCTATTAAGAAGTCGAGAGTCGTCGATAATGACCTCAACCCTACATGGAACGAGCAGTTCGATTTTGAGGGCCTGGACTCTCCGTCTTCGTACACGCTGATAGTGAACGTGCTGGATCAGGACTCCTTCTTGGGGCTGCCCGGTAAACTCGCAGACCTGCTGGCGGCGGACGACAAGTTGGGAGAGGCCAGCGTGAATTTGGGCACTCTGAAGCGTTCCGAGGACTTTCAGGACATGGAGCTGGAGATCGCGAAGGGCTGGCTCTCGAAGTCTACCGTCAGCATCGCCCTGCACAACTGGAACGAGTGGGGCAGCTAGAAGGAGCCGAACCTGCCATGCGCGCCGACGGCACGAAGCTCTGTACTCGGGTGCCTGCCCAGAGGAGACGAGGGCCACACGCTGCAACGGCTGCGCGCGAGATCGGGTGGCGGAGCCCCAAGACGGGGCGCAGCCGCGCGGAGCCCGGAGGTCGAGGAGGGCAGTGCCGATGTAGGACCGGGCGGCAGTGCTGTCACGTAAGCTGGCCTCAGGTCCGAGCACAATATATGACCATCACCACCAGGATGGGGAAAAATCTGCCATTCGATTCGGTGCAGTTTTGCTCCGATGGCAAACCCGCCGCCCCCGCCGACGTCAAAGGGCTGCCCCCTCTGACTTCGTCAAAACACGCGCGGTGGTAGTGTATATGATTTTGGTTACAAGGAGGAACGATTTTTATACACCACAACCAAGAAGTGCTGTTTCTGCTTCAGGAACTCCCCTACCACGGCGCCCGCGCGCCGCGCCGCGCTCTGTTTCGCCGCGGGGTCGCAGCGTCGTCTGGCATGATCCTGCCCCTAACCATATTTCGATTGTTTGTTGTTGCGGGCGGTGGTGGTGTATAGACATCCTGCGATCCGACGCTGCGAAAACATGGCAGCACAGTTGAACCTCTCGACCAGAGCCCCAGATCCCATCCCTCTGCGGCGTCTCTCGCGCCGGATCGACCTGCGATGGCTCTACAGCTGGTGCGAGAACTTGCAGCGCCCGGGTCGCAGGGTTCCGATGTGTGTGCCAGGCCTGATTGCTCTGCCGGGGCCAGTCAGGGGCAACGGAAGGGGGGGATTGGCTCAGGGGGGGATGCATCGATTCATCGCCGGTACGGGCCCGATAGCCCCCCCCGCTCAGGGCCGCCGCTTGGTTTTGCTGTCGGGGGCGCATCGCCGATCTATCTGTGATGTATCGCCGATACCAGGTCGGTGTTTTCCCCCTTGAGCTGGCCCCAACCCCCTTCTCATTGCCCCTCAGCCAAAGGGCGCTGCCAGTCGATCCATCCGCCCCCGCCCTCGCACCATCGGTCAGCTGCCAGCCGCCATCATTTAGCTGTGCTGGCCGCCGCCCGGTCATCCCGAGTCGATTGCTGGCACCTCTGCACGGAGAAGGTGACCGAGGCCAGCTGGAGCTGGCTGGGGGCCTGACGTGCTGTCGAGGCTGATTGGTAGGTCGATCCTGCCGAATCAAGGTGCCCTTGTGTCCTGTGTTCCGCGACCTATGCCTTTTACATTCCTATGACAGTGTGGCCCTCGGAAGTGTCTTGTGTCCTCTCGCGGCTCGCGTGTCCTCTCCAACCAACCTCGACTGTGGCCCAGCACTGGTTCCGGCCAGCAGGAGAGGGGGGGTAGGTTCGAGGTGCTGGGTTCGAGAAGGTTTGCTCCCCGCATGCCTAGTGGGATTATTGTTTTCTTCTCACCTGCGGCGCACACGCGTTCACACAAAGACACACGCCTCCGCTCCTCACCCTTCTTTACTTCTCCTTTCCCTCTGTTTCTCCTGCTCACTGGCGCGCAGCGCTGACCGCACATCTACACAGCACACATACAGCACATTCACACACAGCACAAATACTGGGCATCCACATGAGGCAACACTAGCAACGCCATTGCATGCCTGGCGTGTTCACTGGACACAACAGGGAGTGCGCTGGGGGTGGTCTCCCTATCCGTTTCGGGCTCGCAAAGCGTGGCAGGCGTTGCATTTCCTCGACACCACAGGGGGTGCAATGGGGTGGTCTCCCTATCCGTTTCTGGCTTGCAAAGCCTGGCAGGCGCGACACTTCCTCGACACCAGAATGGGGTGCGCAGGGGTTGGTCTCTGAGCGCGGTCTCTATACAGTCCAGGCTCGGGAAGTGTGGCAGGCGTGGCACTTTCTCGACACCAGAGGGGGTGCGCAGGGGGTGGTCTCTGAGTGCGGTCTCCATATGGTCCAGGCTCGGCACGTGTGGCAGGGGTGACACTTTTTCGACACCACAGGGGGTGCGCCGAGGGTGGTCTCTGAGCGCGGTCTCTACACGGTTCAGGCTCGGAAACTGTGGCCGGGGTGGCACTTTCTCGACACCAGAGGGGGTGCGCAGGGGGTGGTCTCTGAGCGCGGTCTCTATATACGGTCCAGGCTCGGAAAGTGTGGCAGGCGTGCACTTTTTTCGACACCATATGGGGTGCGCAGCGGGTGGTCTCTGAGCGCGGTCTCTATACGGTCCAGGCTCGGAATGTGTGGCAGGCGTGGCACTTTCTGGACACCAGAAGGGGTGTGCAGGGGGTGGTCTGAGCACGGTCTCTATACGGTCCAGGCTCGGAACGTGTTGCAGGGGTGGCACTTTTTCGACACCATAGGGGGTGCGCAGGGGGTGGTCTCACTATCCGTTTCGGGCTCGCTAGGCGTGGCAGGCGTGGATTTCCTCGACACCACAGGGGTGCGCTGGGGGTGATCCTCCTATCCGTTTCGGGCTCGCTAGGCGTGGCAGGCTTGGCAGTTCCTCGACACCTCAGGGGGTGCGCTGGGGGTGATCCTCCTAGCCGTTTCGGCCTCGCAAAGCGTGGCAGGCGTGGCAGTTCCTCGACACCACAGGGGGTGCGCTGGAGGTGATCTCCCTATTCGTTTTGTGCGCGCAAAGCCTGGCAGGCGTGGCACTTCCTCGACACCGCAGGGGGTGGTCTCTGAGCGCGGCATCGAGTCTTTGCGCGACGTGGAAGGCCCAGCCAGCTGGTGGGGTCAAAGTGGCGGTAAGCCAGTAACCCCCAGGCTTTGCCTTTTCTGGACCCGCTCAGGGTACTCAGGCTCCCAAGGCTTGACTGGCGCCGCCAACGGTATCGACGAAGCAACGGCCCTTCATCATTCTTGCAAATTTCACGTCAGCTATCATCACGCCAGACATATATATATATATATATATAGCATGATTATGTTGGGTTCTTCGGTAGCGTAATATCCGTTTTCGGTCTCTGGGGGCCGTTGTCGAGCCCCAGGACACTCAAACGCGGATCCTGGGTGAAAATTGCACCAGATGGACTCCAGGAGGGATCCAGGGACAGATTCCGAGGGGATTTGCCTTCATCCTCCCCTCTGAAGGTTTCACAGCCGCCATTGCCCTCATCACCCAGTTTTCCGCGAGCTGCAGCCCGGAGAATTAGTTCAGGGTCGTTGAAACTGGCGGCTGCTCCCTCCGCCGATGCACTGGACACTTGACCCCCGATTCGAAGGCTTTGCAGTGCCCTTACACAGCGAGTCTCGACAGACGGACTTTGGGGATGAACGGGTTGAGTAGAGCCGCACACACCGATACTCGTATTTGCTGGGTTGTCTGTGTGGTGCACGTTTGAGGTGCTCCGGATCTTTCTTTCTGATCTTTCGAGACGTGTATTCACTCTTTTTGGGTTGTGGTCCCAGAAGCTGGTCGGGGGATCAGAGGTGTTGGCTCGAATCCTCGGCTTTTTCTTCCTGCTCCGTCCTCTTCCTCTTCCTCCTTCACTCCTCCCGATGTTGCGATTTTTTCAATAGGGGTGTCCAGAAGGCCCGATCTTTTCTCCAGGGCAGTTCTTTTATCCCGGTCTGTTCTCTGACGGTCCCAAGGGCCTGGCAAGCGCCGCCGGAGGCGGAGATCTACCACAGAGCTTCCGCCATGAATCTTTCACGACGCGAGGGGGGTCCGGGTCCTCCTCCCCCTCCTCTTCCCTCCTGCTCCGCGCTCGCGCCGCGCGCGTGTCCGTCCCGGGCGGGCAGCAGCCGGGGTCCGGCTCCAACGCCCCCCCCCCGCCCCGGCGCGCAGCACCGACCCCCCGGTGCCCAGGCCGCCCAGGCGCCGCAGGTGCTGCCACGGGGGGTCCTCGGCCCGAGGTATCGCGCCAGGAGTTCCAATCTCAGAGGAGATACAAGATGCCGATGCCGGTGCTTGTCAAGGGGGAGCTCTCGGCACCACGGCTGGATGCTCCTGGAACATCTGGACAGAATGCGCCATGGGAGCGCGGTCTCAGTACTCTTTGGTCTCAGCACTCTTTGGTCTCAGTACTCTTTGGTCTCAGTGCTCTAACGTTACCGCCAGGCCCCCGGCGGCCTCCAGAGCAGGGGGGGCTCGCAGAGTGCCCCGAGCCCGAGAGGCTGGGGGCACCGTGGGCCGAGAGCGCCCTGCCCAGACCTCCGGCGCGATGTGTTTTGTGTTCGGGAGCTCGCGGCCTTCCTCGGGAGCAATTGCAGAGGGGGCCCATGCCAAGAAGCACCCTGCTTGCCTCCAGGGTGCCCTGGGTTTCTTGGATTTCGATGGTTTTGCCATGGGAAGCGTGACGTTGCCACACCAAAAATCCATGGACGTCCTGGTGTCTCAGGGTTGGGTTTCTTGTGGAAGGTTTCTCGTGGTCGGGTCTCGACTGTAACCGCAGAGGGTCTTCAATGCTGCCGGGAACCCCCGCCCCCCCCTCCCAAACTCCGCTGGTATTCAACAAAAACTTGTCCTTCCCCCCCCCCGGGTCCACCTCTAATGTCGCTTGACGCCGCAAACGCCCCCCCCGCGCGTTGGAATCGACAGAGCCCCGGGATTGAACAAAACCAGCCCGCGCGGGTGTCTGCGCGGGGGACCCGCAAGGAACGATGCCGCTGCCTCCGGGGCGCGTCCTGCACCGAATCTCCCGAGGAGAACCCGGCCCCGGCGGCTCCGGCACGAGCAGCGGTACACTGCGGCTCCTCTGAGCCTGGGACTCTGGCGGGGGCCCGGGCCATCCAGGCGGCTGCCGAGAGCGATGGTCGCGGCGCCGCTGGCGGCCACCGCGCTCTGGCTCGCGCTCGCGGCGCCCCCGCGAGCCTGGGGCGCCGCGGCGCTGCGCCGCGGCCCTGCGCGAGGCGCGGCCTCCCGCGGCGCGGGGGCGCCCGGCCCCGCAGGGCGGGGCCGCGCCGCCGCTCGGCCGCGGGGCCTCGCCGCGGCGGCGGCGGCGGCAGTGGCCGCGGCCGCGGCCAGAGGCTCCCGCGGCGCCAGGCGGGAGGGCGCTGGCTGTCAGAGGTGCCGATGCCGCCGCCCCTGGCCTCGCCTTGGCCCTTCGGGGCCTTCTGGGATGCCCTCGTCGTCACGGCCAGACTCGCCTCGAGCTCCTGGCCAGAGCGCGCCTCAGGAGAGGTCCAGGGAGCAGCGGCATCATCATTTTTTGGTCTCCCCACCTCACGCTCCAGTCCTCCGACGTCATGATTTTTCATGACGTCGGCACCCTGGACCCATTCCCCTGGACCCGTTTTTCATCCCGAGTCGGTTTTTGACGGTGCCCAGGCCCGGCAAGGTCCCCTGGAGGCCGAAAACAGCGACCCCCCCCTTCGGGGATTTTACCATGACTCGACGGGGTCTGGGACCGACCCTGGCCAGGCGCAGCGCGGGCTCCAGAGCCACCTCCTCCTCCTCCTCCTCCTCCTCCTCCTTCTCTCCTCCTCCTCCTCCTCCCCCTCCTCCTCCTCCTCCTCCTCCTCCTCCTCCTCCTCCTCCTCCTCCTCTTCCTCCTCCTCCTCCTCCTCCTCCTCCTCCTCCTCCTCCTCCTCCCTCCTCCTCCTCCTCCTCCTCCTCCTCCTCCTCCTCCTCCTCCTCCTCCTCCTCTCCCCCTCCTCCTCCTCCTCCTCCTCCTCGTCCTCGTCCTCGTCCTCCTCCTCCTCCTCCTCCTCCTCCTCCTCCTCCTCCTCTCCCTTGTTCTGTGCATGCGGAAGCGACTGCGTTGGTATTTGGCTGGTCCCCAGCCCTGGGCCCAGGAGGACTCGGCCACGCGCAGAGGGGGGGCAGGGTGATGGGGGGAGAGACTGCTTCGAAGCACCCCTGCTTCTTAGAAGGCGCGGGTCCTTGTCTACAGATGTGAGGTCGGCGCCTTCCAAGAAGCAGCCTCCTGCTGGGAAGCCCTTCATCCTCCCCCTGTCCCCCTCTGCTTGAAGAAGAAAGCGCCATTAACATAAACTTTTGGGCGCTCCGCGCGGATTTCTTGGATCCGCGCTGGGCCCCCCAGGCGGCGCCTCCGGTGCCGCCCCTGGCGCGCTCCGCGCGCCAGGGAGGGGGGTCCAGCGCAGATCGAAGAAATCCGCGCGGAGCGCCCAAAAGTTTAGGCTCATGGCGTTTACTCTTCGTCTGATAAAGCCCCCCCCCTGTACCCCCCGCTGCGCGCCGCCAGACGTGGGCCTGGAGCCACCCGCCCTGGGCCCCGGAGGGTGCCTGGCCAGGGCCAGCGCGGGGATCGTGGCTGGCGCCCTCCTGCCCAGGGCGGCGGCGTGGGGCCTGCCGCCGCGGCGGCCGCTCGCCGGGCGCGCCCGGCCATCGGCGAGGGCCGCGGAGGAGCGGGCCGGACGAGAAGGGGGGGGGAGTTCGGGGAAGGGGGGGGGGGGCGAAGTCTGCGGCCTACAGCCCCAGCACTCTGGCGTCGTGTTTTTTTTTCAGGGCTGCGTTTTTGTTTGTTTTTTGTTTTTTGTTTTTGTTTTTTTTGGTTTGGTTTGGTTTGCTTTGTTGTTGCTGTTGCTGCTGCTGCTGTTGCTGTTGCTGTTACCGTTTTCGGCTGCCCCGGGGCCGTCGAACAATCTCGGTCAGGACGACGACCCGGTCGAAGGGACGTCGTCGGGACTTTTGGGGACTGCGTACAAAGAACCTCGCGGCGTCGGATGCCTGGGGCCGATCTCGGGCCCGGCGCATGGGCGCTCTCCTCGACCGTGCCCGGGGCGCCTCCGGGGAACCTCGGCTGCGTGGGCTGGCTCGCGGCCCCGCCCTTTGCCTGCCCCAGCGGCGCGCGGCACGGGGGCGGCTCGGGGGCTCAAGAGACGGGGGCCAATGCAAACGGTAAGTCTGGCCTGCCTGTCCCTCTACAGGAGGAGTATCCAAGAATGGTGAATAAAATGGTCTGGGGACGATTTTCCTTGCTTTGTTTGATAACCTTTTCTACCATGTCTTATTTTTCTTCTAAAATCCGCCTGCAGGAGGACATGTCCGACCTGATGCGACCGGGGGTCCGTCAGAGCGCCGGATCTAGCAGGCTCCTGCAGAGAGTCATGGTTGCATTGGTCCGGGCTTGGGCGCAGGATCCCGCAGGATTCTGCAGGATCCTGCAACGCCTGCTTGGCGCGGGGCTGGACTGACCCAGGTCAGCAGATCCTCGAGGGGCGCGAGGAGGGGGGCGGCCTCCCAAGAAGGTCAGGGCGCCCTCGCAGAAGGGCTCCGGTGCCTCCGCGCAGGCTTCTCAGCAGCCCTCGGCATCGCACGGACGTGTGCACTTTTCTCGGCGAGGATCATCGAAGAGCATTTTTGGATCATGTGGTGACAAAAAACGAAGCCGAACAAAAACACGAGGAATTCACGTCCGAGCGATGGCAAGAGCTGCTGGGGCTTCTGAGAAGCCCCCCTGCCCTCTTAAGGAGGCCACCCTCCTCGCGCCTCTCGCGTGTGCACGCCGCCATCTTCCGCCTCCCTGGCTTACTTCGGGGGCCCCCGAGCAGTGTCGTGACCACACCGCGTGGTGAGTCAGTGGGGATTCGGGGTCACCGCGCGGTTTCGGGATTCGGGTCGTTCTCCGAGCACTGCCCGGGCGACTCGGCCCTCCAGAGTCCTAAGGCCGTGCGGTGACGGACCGCGCGGTGAGGTCGCTGGGGGCTCCGAGGTCACCACGCGGTCCGTCACCACACGGCTTTGGAGCCCGAGCAACTCTCGAACAATATGACATGGTTTTGGCACAAAGTCTCGGAGCCCCCTCCCTGGCGCGCGGGGCGCACTAGGGGCGGCGCCAGGGACGCCGCCAGGGGGGCCCAGCGCCGACCTCGGAACTCCGCGCGGAGCTCCGACAAGTTCTGTTGCTCTTGCCGTTTGCTGTTTCTCTATATCTCCTGGCCTTCGGCCAATCCCGCCACCTTGCCTGGGTTGTGGGTCAGTGTTGCCACCTCGCCTCGGATGAAGAAGTGGTCCCGGGGGAAAGCCCCAGTGTCTGGTCAGTGTCAGTCGCTACGGTCGCGATCAAAAAAACCCACCAGACCTTCCAGAAATGATGGCCATGCGATCTGAGGGGGGAGAGAGGAAGAGACACGCATTGTCAAACAGCGAGGGAGCTTGGGCTATCTTGGGCCATCTTGGAAGTCATTTTGGGCTTTCTGAGGCCGCTCGGGGGCCTCTTGGGTGCTTCTGGGGTTCCTCTTGGAGGCCTCTTAGGGCTTCTTGGGGCGCTCTTGGAGCTCTCTTGGGGGCCTCTTTCAAGTCCTGGAGGGCTTCTTGGTGCCATTTGAAAGCGGTCGGTCAAAAGAGAGGGGTCCTCGATGTCTGCCCCCTTCGGGGGCCATGATCCTCGTGAGGGGTGTCAGAAATTGGCCCTCTCACTGGCCGAAAAAGTTAAAAAAGACCCTCCGACACATCGGTCCCCCTCCCCAAAAAAACCCAGGGAGGGGAGTGGGACGGCTCCCCTCACCGAAGGGAAGATGGGGTTGTGTAAGAAGAAAGAAATCACCCGTAGACCACCTGTCGCCCAAAGGGCCGGTGGGATTACCGTGTGATCCGACCAGGAGAAGAGGTCGGGCGCGAAGGCCTCGGGGAGCGCCCCCGACCAGGCCCGGGTGGCGCTGGTATCGCAGCGGCTGACGTCCGCGGACTGGCACCTCGGTCGCTGGGGCTACTTGTCCGAGGTCGTGTACACGTGGCTAGGTCCAGCCGGGGGGCTCAATGTCGATTCGCCGATCCCTATCCCTATCTCCATCCCCATCACGAACACCACCAGCCCACCATTCCAGTAGGGGGATATGTTCCTCGAAACCCGAAGGGGAGACCCCGTATTCCAATCTCGGGGGTAAATCGGCTAGTGGGGCCCAGGCTTCGTCAGTGGGGATAGGGATCGGTTGAGCGATGCTCAGGGCGGCTATCCGTGGACCCTGTCATCCGGGCGTTGCAAATTTTTCTCACTGGGCATTTTCGCCAGGCTCTGGGCCCTTGGACTATCACAGGTCGATCCGGCCAGAGGAGGAATGAGGACGAAGGATGAACAGGAGGGAGTGAGGCGGAGGAGGATGTCGAGGGAGGATGAGGAAGGAGGAGGAAGGCGGCATCGACGGAGGAGCAGGAAGGCGCGCTGACATGGTTGCGGCGCGCGGTCTATTCTCCAGAGCCGCCTTATCTCAGAGATTCCGTTTGATCCTGGTCCGATGTTGTCGCTGCTCTGGCCTCGTCTCAGTCCTGCGCTCTCGCGCGTACCCGCGCCAGTCCACGAGGGTTCGGGCAGGAGAGACGAGAGGGTAGTCACCGACGGCGGCGGCGAGGGCGGCGCACGACGGCGTCGGAGAGGACAGGCGGCCCCGAGGTCCGACGTCACGACAAAAAAAATGCTGCATCCGGAGAATGCACGGCTGGAGCCGTAGGCCCAGTCTTTCCACAGCAGTTCTCGTGCCAGGTCGATCCGTGAGGGTCCCGGGGCCCGAACTTGCGGCGCCAGGATCTCAGAGGAGTCGGGGGCGGCCAAGACGGCGGTGATGTCTGGGAGTGGGGGGGGGGATGTCATGGCTCTGGTGCCTCCCCAGACTTCCTGGCCCCCTATTCTTCTTTCAGTCCGTCCCCTGGTCCTCCCTCGTCCGCGCGCATGCCTCGGCTCGTGATTTTCGAGCCCCATACATTGGGCGCCCCCCTCGTGGACGCCCCCGAGGGAGACACGACGACGACAGAGGCACGAACGCGGCAGCGACGACGGCACATTCGGCGCGGACGTGGAGCTGGCAGAGGATGGGGGCGGCGGCTCTGACAGCGTATGCCGGGCGGCGCAGGGACCATCTCTCTCGGCGTCGCCGGCTTCGCCACCTATTCGCACGGCCTCACCCGGGGCTGGACCCGCTCCTGCCACGTCCGCCCGAGGCAGGGGGAGGAGGAGGAGGGAGGTTCGTCCAGGTTCCGTTTCGTTGTGCACTGGTAGTGCGGGCCTTGCCAAGCAGGCCCCAGGCGGCGCTTATCTGTGTCTTCTTAAGTTGCTGCGTCCTTGGGAACGTTTGCGCCAACGTTTCGTCGATCCCGAAGACGAGAAGACGGCATGAGCCTACGCTTTGGAGCTGCTGATTTCTTGGAGCTGCGCTGGGCTCTTCCCCGGCGGCACCTCTGGCGCTGCCCCTGGGGAAGTGGGTCAGCGCCGATCCAAGACAATTTTTTTCCCCAGACGACTTGTGTGCAACGTTCCGAGCTGGCGTCTCTCGAGGCGTCGTCGATCCTCGACCAAGGACTGGTGCGGTGCATGGTTTTTTGTTTTACCGGGAGGGCCGAGAGACTAAGCACTGTATCGCGTTGGAGCGGGGCTTCACGTGAGTTCAAACATGGTGGATGAGGGCCAGATCAGAGTTTCGAGGCGCAGCCAGGGCTCTGAGCATACAGGCTCGCCCGCGTCCTGCCGCATCGGCTCCTCCTCTTACTCCTCCTGCTCCTCCTCCTCCTCCTCCTCCTCCTCCTCCTCCTCCGTCTCCTCCTCCTCCCCTGCTCCGCTCGAGAGTATGATGCCTCGGAGCTGGTTCAAGTGGCGTCTGCGCTTCTAAAAAGGTAGATCCGAAGAAAAGAGCAATTCCACCTTACCTGGAGCCGCTCTCCCCCTCTGGGGCTGCGCCCGAGAGCCTCGAAATCTGCGTATGGGGGTATTTCGCGGAAACGGCGTACAATGTATATCCTTCCCCGCCTGCCCCTCCCTATCTTTTCTGGGGTTGGTTGCCAGGGGGTGGTCGGGGTGCTCCTTGGTTCCCCTACCCTGGGATGCAATTCCTGGGAGGTTCAATGCAGCATCGGCCCTGATATATCCGTGGTCGAAGACTGGCTTTCAATCTCGTCTAATCCGGCCGAGTCCCAGACTTGATCCGGCCTGGCTTGGTGGCCGCCTTAACAGACCTAATAGCCCCGACTTGTTCTTGAGAATACCTCCCAGAGGTTGCCTTCCTAACCTGTCCTCTCGAAGTGAGAATCGTGAGCCGCGCGCGCGCGGGGGCCCGGCGACCGGGGTCCTCTCCCGAGGTTCCCCCCCCCAGCGGCGGGCGCCGCTCGGTGGAGGGCGGCGGCTCGCCAGAGCTCGGCGGGGAGAGTGGCCCTTTGCCGGAGTGAGCTTCTGGTGCGCGGCTGGACGTTTTCGGACGTTCTCGTCGGTTCCTGCAAGTTTTCCTGCCTCGGGATTCGCTCCAGCAGCTGCGCGTCGGCGAGCGCGTTCTGGCGGTGCCCAGATCGTCCCGAGCAGCCGCTGGAGACCCGAGTGATCACGACTTGGCAGCAAGACCAGCTACACGTTAAGAGTGGCCCTTCGCCGTGGTGACCTTTGGTGCTCGGCTTTCGGGACGGCGCGGGGGTCCGAGCCCGAACACGCAGGCAGAACGTCCCGTTAAACGATCGGCAAGCCGCGCACCCAAGGTCATTCTTGCCAAGGGCCGGTCTTGCGTGTAGCCGAAATCAGGAACATCATTGGGGGTATTCAGTCAAAGTAGTAAGGATGAGCGACTTTCCATGGTTACCCTTGCCTCCTTTACCGTCGGCTCAGCCTTCGCTACTTTCGCTGGCCGCGCTGCGCTCGAAACGTGTCGACATGGCCTTCCAAGGCCATGGCATCCTTGTCTTGCATCCTGATTATGCGCGTTAACTCTAGGCTCATGGGGTGCGTCAACCCCCGACCAGAGACGCATCGCTGGATGTCTCCTCCCGTCGGTCTGACCGAAATGGGTACGTAAGAACGGCGACGACGACCAGTTTTCTTTGATTCAGTAGCTTCGATGACAAGTCTTGTGCCTCCTCCTCATCGCTCTTCTCTCCCCGAGGAGGAAGAAGAAAATGGGGTACCAGAGGGAGGAATCCTCGCTCAGGTACTCTATTTCTAAGCTGGCACGCAATGCTGGCAGGGAGCCAGACAGAGAAACAAACAAGCCCCCTCCCCCCCTCCCTCCACACATTCCCCCTTACCCCTCCCCCCACTACAGTTACTCATTCTGCATACTATCTTCCTCTCTTCCTGGCATATGGCTGGAGAGTGATGTGCCCCCCCTCCGCGTTCTGTTGCTTGCGCACAGGATTGTTTTCTCATGGGCCTATCCAATCCGAACCTTCCGGGTCCTTCCACAAGAGTGCCCCCGCTGCAGCGTTCGGGTGTTGCTAGAAGTACCCCTGGCCCAAGGTACCCCCAGGATCCTCGGGGTGGCCCAGACGGTCTCCAGCGCACCCCTCACGAGGCCCAGAGGGCCCCGGGGGTTCAAAATGGAACGAAAAGCTGGGGGCACCTTGGGCCAGGGGCCTTTCTAGCAACACCCGAAGCGTTGGCCTCATTTTAGGATCAGCGCTTCGATCCGTCGTTTCGAATGGCGCCCCTCCGCCCCAGCGCGGGCCATACGTCTTGGTCAGAGAATTTCCTCGTCGTGGTCGCTCCCTTTCCTCTCCCCTCCCCCGCCTTTTCATGGATCTGAACGCCAGCGACGGGGCCATCGCCACACTACTGCAACGACTCGGACTTGGACCTGAAATGCACACGCGGCTCGCAGAGCAACTGCGTCAACCAGAAACCATGCACAGCATCGACGTCAACCCTCACCTGGCTTCGGTGGTAGCAGAGGCACATGCGTATACACGGCTCGCATTCGCCGGTGTTGATGCGATCACTCATGTCAGTTTCAGATCGAAGCCAAGGCATCCGTAAGGAGATCTGATTTTCTGGCTTTCCAATGGCAGAGCGCGTGACGAAATTACATTTACAACATATTCTGCGTCAAGCGGACATGGCAAGAATATTGTTCGGTCGGGGCAAAGGACAATATGCACCACAAGCAGCGAAGAGCATATCGACCTTACACAAATCATCTACGCTGACGATGGCTTGCGCCCATTGTTGGGCACAGCAGACCGAATGACCACCCAGACTGCCAAGCTCACAAATATCCTCATTGACGAGTTCACCGCGGCCGATTGGAAGTTCAGCATGCAGCCAAAAAGTATTACGACACTCGTACAGCGCAGAGGGTCTGGCGCAGTAAAGGCACGACACAATTTGCAACTGGCCCATCACGTGCCATCAAGGTGAACGCGAGGATGCATGAGTAAGTACACGTGCGCGTAAGTTCGGATGCGTAGTGTTTGGGCTGCTTTCAGGCAGGCACTGAGACTGGCATGCCATAGCTAGCCGTGCGCAAGTGTGTCTTGAGATCTCAGATCAGATTAATGCGCACACATGTTTTGGCTAACCCCATCATCGACACTGAAGCAAGAGTGGCAATCACCGGCGCAGTCTTGACGAGTGCCGCCTTGCACAACGCAGCAACTTGGCCAACTTGTGATAACATGACAATCTCAAGGTGAAGAGCGCGGTCATGATGGCACACATACAGCATTGCAACGGGCACGATTATCAAGATGGGCGGCGGCCAACTTCACACGGATCAGCAGCTCCTGGTCATGGCAAAGAGGTTCAGTCCAGTGGATAAATCATTTGAGCAGGTTTTTTCTTATCGTACGGAAGGAGCTGGTCTTTGCATTACGAGCAAGTATGGGCCGTTCTCATCATGACAGACCTCACCTGGCTACACCGTACATCGACGGCAACACAGGAGCTGCCAGACACCGTGGAGGACATGAAGGGTTTGGATGGGTGCTTCGGGCACTGGCCATCAGCTTGCATTGAGATGCAACCTGCAAGCGACAGCGACACCTAGTGAGCCAACGTGAGGTCAGCCATCAGCCCGGCCCCGTGCTTTTCGCCGGAGGCCCCCTTGCAGTGTCATGAAGGTGCAGCAGCATGTAGCACGCCGCGCGCGCTCGCATGTCATAGAGTCGCCAAGCACGGCCTGCGGAGCAATGCACGTCCAGTAGCAGAGACGGCATGCGCGTAACTTGCATGACGCATTTCCACACCCGCACACGCGTAACCAGACACCTTAAGACTAGCAGTCCCAGATGTCCGTTCGTAGCCTTGCAGCATGCTAGGCATCTCCCGATGAGCGAACAACGAGGATGCGACCTTCGTTCTGCAGCCTTGAGCCAACGGTTCAAGGGCCAAATGAGAGGCAAGGGCTACGCAGAGTTACCTTGCCTCAGGATGCCAAGGTCAGCCACCGAGGCCTGGGCAGAGCTCAGATTGACAAGCGAGCGGGCTCGAGGGGCAGCGGGCTGCAGTATTGCCCGCAAGCACGCCCAGCACGCATCGGCGAGCCCACTTCCAAGCTGGCTAGTGGGGAGCTGAGCATCGGGAGGGAGGGTGATCAGTCGAATGCTCCCAGGCGCGTAGTTGACTCTTTTTCCTGCCTGTGTGGGGCCCAGGTCCCGCGTGCGTCCCGCGGTTGCGCCGCGGCTGCGATCGGCGTGCCCGAATCGGGTCGAAGCCCCGCGTTCCCCTGGTCCTCCTGGTCCTCCTGCTCCTCCTGCTCCTGCTCTTGCAGCTTCTCCGCGATATCCTCCTTTCTCATCCTTCATGCTTGCTTCCTCCTCCTCCTCCTCCGCGGCAAGCTGATGGGCGTTTTGCAGGAAGGCGAGAACAACGTCCCAGCCAGGCGGCGCCAGTCGGGGCGCCCACGGAGCCGTTCAAGATGGCAGGCCTGCGCATTGAGATTGTGATCGGGGAGGCCCTGCGGTCGATGGGAGGGCCCATGTTGTCGGGCCGCGCCCGTCGGGGCAATTTAGCACGGGCAATGTCAGGTTGCCGCGGTGTGTGTGTGTGTGTGTGTGTGTGTGTGTGTGTGTGTGTGTGTGTGTGTGTGTGTGTGTGTGCGTGTGCGTGTGTGCGCTTGTGTGTGTGTGTGGGGTAGTGCGTGAGCCAGGGCCCAGCAGTCATGGGTATGACCGCCCTCAGAATTGTTGTGTTGGTGTGTTCTGGATGCCTGTCTCTGGCTTTA